TGATGCTGGAGAAGGGCCCAGCAGGGAGAAAGGCAGCTCAGCAGATGGGGAAGCAAATCAGCGCTACACCAGGGATAAAGGGGGGCAGATGGGGGAATCGGCGAGAGGGCTCCAGGACTCTTCACCGGACACCAGAGGGGAGAGTACGGGTCCTCCGCTACCCACGCCCACCCTGCGCAGAAGACTTCCGCGCAGGGAGAGTAGGAGGAGACTGGGCATCAAACAACTTTTATGTTGGAAAAGGTTTAAGAAACGCCCACTGACGGATTCTGCTAGCGACTGAGGCAGCCACGAAGTGAAGGGCTGTCCAGACAGAAAAGTTCAACAAGGCAACATAGCCAGGAGAGGCGGCAACTTACGCACGAGCAACCCATACTCATTACACTGACTATTTCAGAACAAACTCCCCCAAAGGGCCATACAATGCAATGCACACATCTCAAGAAACCAATGCAGTAAAGAAATGGTTTATGATTGTTCCAGAATTTTGAGACTCATGAGCTATCACCCTTCTCAGCTTGGAAGGTGATAACCCCACAAGATATTGTAATGTATTGACTGGCACATGGTGGTGTGGGGGGAGAGGTTTCTTCATATAGATGTTAAATAACATGTGTAGACCACTGTAGAAGACCATGGGAGAAATGTCCTGATTCTGGGCAGTAGCGTCTTGATGCTAATCTCTGAAAATGGCCCAATATATAGGAGCAGAGCCTTTGCAATATGTTGTTCTCAGTCCCAATTTCATAGTGCTGACTGAGAGGAATAACATGGCCAATTGTATCAAAAGTCCTTGAGGCGTCAAGGAGTGGGAACAGGTTACACACAAAACCATTGTCATCAGGACCCACCCAGCCACTCCCTGCAGCAAGGTTTAATAAGACTAGATGAGCAAGAATCAAGAGGGCAGTTAGCTAGGGATGAGCCAATCCATCAACGCTGGGGGGTTTTCAGGGTCTTATTTTCCTAAACTTATATTCATCTTTCCATTTCTCCATCTGTGGGTGGTTTTTCTTTGTTGGTGCAAAAACTCAGTCACATTTTAGGGCACATTTTGCCTAAATGCACCATTTTAAATGGTTCTCTGTATTGTATTGTTTGGTCACATGTCCAAGCTGAACTGGTTTAGGATCCAGTTTAAGTCTCAGACTTCTGGAGAGGAAAGATGACCATCTAGTCATTGATTGCTGACACTCCTTTTCTAGGTTTCTCCAATTATAACAACCAAAACAACTTTAGACAGCATGGTCAGGGAGGCTCCTGAACAGCAGAATGTACCATATCCCCATCTTGTCTGTTTGGCCCAAAACCAGATGTAGGCCCTAAAGTTCTGTTCAAAGAAAGGGGATTCCAAGGGATGGGAAGTGAACTTCCATGGATCACAGCAAAAAGCCTTCAATACTGAGCTGAAGTTGCACAGAATACTCAGAAGAGAGCTGAGTCATATCTGGCCTGACCAGCTTCTCCAGTGAAATTTCAATGATACATAACAGGTTGGTCCATTCATACATAATCAAATCATGGGTCAGCATGGTTTTATCATGGACCAACAAGAGAACCAATGGATGGTTGGGGACAGTGGTAGAGAGTCCATTAAAACAAGGTATAAGTGCAAGCTTAATAGAGTGCAAGTAGTTATCTGTCTGCTATGCCTACCTCTCTCCTCAGTTACTAAGGTCATCCAACAACCACCTTCTCCAATATCCTTCTTCCAAGACACACCCTGCCAGAAGAGTTCAACAAAACCATCTATCATCCTTCCAAGCCACAAAGGCATCCATCCTCAATGGTCAGATCACATATAGCCCACGATAAATATGCCCACCCTCCAGCTAAGGAAGACATATATTCTACTGGCATTCCATTCCACCTGTTGCCTGAGGCATAAATAATCAGTTTTCTACACATTTCTCACATCCAGGGGTTAGAAAATGCTGTGGGACACCTCAGTCTCTCTCACATGCTTAACTTTGCAGGAGTGATGTATGAACATGACTCAATGTGTTCCAACATGCATTCAGATTTTCTTCTGTTACTTTCTGTTACGCTGCAATTGGTTTGTTTTGGCTTCTGTTTTGTTACATATATATTTTAACTTAGCACACAATAGAAACATGTAACTCAACCACCAACAGATATTTACAAATATGTTATCTTCCCTGCATGCTTCCTTTCAGAGTTCATGCATTTCTAGATGGGTTGCCTTTTGTGACAAAAACAACACAGAATCAGGGAAGGCTTCTCTGGGCATATGTGTGCCCATCAGTATACCCATTGGTGACCCATAGCTTAGAAGATAAAGAATCCTCCAGCATTCTAGATCAGAATAGGGTTGGATTCTACTCATTACTAAGCATTTATTGAGAACATTCTCCAGGTTTTGGTGGCTATGGGTTTTTCCATATGGCTGGCTATTGGGTCTCTTGGACCAGATGAACTCTGCGTTGCCTTCCAACTCTAAGATGTAAAAAAAAAGATTTGCTTCAACAGTGTTGAAGCAAACATATTTTCAGCAGGCTAAAACACTGCACAATTTATTACCTTCCTTGTATTATCAAAATCATTATAATTAGTTCAAGTGACCAAAGCCCCAGTGGCTTCACAGAAGGTAGGAGGAAGAAAAAATTAACTTGAAAGTCTGAATTGATTATAAGCACCCCAGTGTTCCATAGACAGCTAAGATTAAGAACTAGGGAGAGGCAGGACTGTGATTTGATCTGTTTCCCTCTTTGTTGTAGTGCTGAAATTTCAAATTGTTGTATCTTTATTGTCATTCAGTGTATGCTTTTGTGATATTGTTGCAGTTAAGGATAAGGGGTGGTAGATGTCCCTTTGAGTAGAGTGTTGGCAAAGCCAGCTGCCACTCAAACCATATTGCTCAGATCAGGTCAATAGCAGTAATAATATGGTAAACTGAGAGACGTGGGAGATTTCATGTGTGGATGGAAGCTTGCCATCAGGATGGTGATTTTTCTCCTTTTGCTTCCAAACATGGTGTGCAAAGTGCATAGCATTAGCTGCACCAGAAAGAAACCTGTGCTTGTTCCAAATAAGTGGTATAAGCCAGGTGATCTCCTCATTGGTGGGATGACATCTTTTATCCATTACATTTTCCCTGAAATTACATTCAACGAGCAACCTTCCCCATTACTGATTGAAGACCCTTTGTAAGGAATTGTTTCCTTTTATAAAACTGCACTCTGTGTTTGTTTGTTTGTTTGTGTGTGTGTGTGTGTGTGTGTGTGTGTGTGTGGTGTCTTATGTTTCTATAGTTGACTGCCTCTTTGAATTCATGTTTCCTTGATTTCTTTGAAAAAGACTACAAATAGTTCCCGTTATCTGCCTGCGCTCTGTGTAAATTCACTGATTCGAATGTAAAGAATTATGTCCAAACTTCTCTATACACTCTGCAGATTCAGATATCTGAACAGCCAGCATTTGCTTCCTTCCTTCCTTCCTTCCTTCTTTCCCTCCTTCCTTCCTCTTTGCTGGCTGACGGCAGCCTTTTTCAGGTAGAAAACCATGCAAGAAGGGAGGGAGCAAGATCAGATGAATGACAGAGCGGGAGAGTGCATAGCATTAGCTGCACCAGAAAGAAGCCTGTATGTGTTGCACATGAGTGGTATAAGCCAGGTAATCTCATTGGTGGGATGACATATTTTGTCTGTTACATTTTACCTGAAGTTTTATTCATGAAGCAACCTTGCCCAGAAGTGATTATCTCACCTATGTAAGGAATGGTTTCCCTCTATGAAAGTGTGTTGTATATGTGTGTTGGGGTGTGAGTGTTTCAATGATTCTTTACATTTCTATTATTGGTGACATGTTTCTTTGATTTTAAAGACTATATTGCCATTTGAACCATTGGAAACATCAACATATTGTAATTCAATTTGAGCAGAAATTCAAAATCTTAACCATTCTATCATAGTATGCAGGAAAGATATACTTTGCATTGAAAATGACAGCCCTTAAGTCCCTTGATTTATTTCATAATTATATTCACTTTTAAAAATAACCAAATGCCAACAGCTACTGGAAAAAGAATCTGCTATGAGACCAAAAGAAAATCTCATAAAAGCATTCTAGAAGGGAATGGGTTTTCACTTATTCCTTTCTAGAAAGAGAATCTAAGAACCAAAGCAGCAAAACAAAAAAGAAAATTTGTTCTTTTTCATGCTTTCTTTACTAAATGGTCTTCTGGAAAGAAGCCACCAAGATATGTGAAGAAAAATGCAGTTTCTTCTCAAACTGCTGCTCAATAGCAGATTCCCACTTGCACATTGGAATTTTCCACTTCTCTCATTTGCAACCTCCCCTCAAAACATGCTCCCAGAAGGCTAGAGGACTCCCCCTGACCCCAGGGAAGATTTCAAAGGCATACAGAAAGAGGAGAGGAAGGAGAAGTTTCATTGCATAAGTGGACCTCCACACGAATATTGTTGGATAAATCTACATTGATTTTATTTTGTACTATATGTCCAAGATTGCTGAAAATGGTATATAGTAGAGTATAGAAACGAATTCATTAATGTGAGGCTTGTTTGTTTTGGGGGCCAACTATGTTACAAAACAGCTTAATAAAGGGATCAGCACTGTCTGTCTATAGGGAACAGCTTGGCACTTGTAGGTCGTGCTGACAAAGACCCCACTCTGAAACACTACCAGTTACCAGTGTAGAAAATGCTGAGCTAGATGGGCTGGGCTCAAAATTGGCTTTGAAACTTTAAAAAGGAAGGTGCCAAAGCTGAACAGATAAGTATGAAGATGATGAAGTTTTAGGATGTTTTGGAAAGTGCCAATGATTCCAAACACAGAATCACAGTTCTGTGGCGCTGTTGATGTTCATGGCATAGTTCTTGCCAACCAGACTTACTGAATGACTTTGCTGGTTGTGCTCCTTCTTTATAGTTCGACAGCTGCATATCTCAAATCTAGAAGAAATCGGTACTAAAAAAATTATGTGCACTGTTTAATTATCCAGTTAATTTATTTGCAGCATGGTGACAAAGCTCTACCAGCATATCCTAGCCTTGGTGTTTGCTGTTGAAGAGATCAATGAGAATCCCAATATTTTGCCCAATGTCACACTCGGGTTCCACATCTATGACAGCTATTGTGACTCAAAGATGACCTACTGCAACACTCAGGCTCTGATCTTTAACTCTCATAACTTTGTACCCAACTATAAATGTGGCATCCAGGAAAATGTAATAGGAGTCATCGGGGGACTAAGCTATGAGACCTCCTCAAACATGGCAGACATCTTAGGTCTTTACAAGATTCCACAGGTAGGATTTGAGTATCCAAACAATGGGAATTTCTCCTTTCCATGTAGGAATTTGATTATTCATGTGCAATAATTTGACTGGTCGTTTTTCCTTCAGAATTTTGGTGGGGCCTCCTTCTTGAGAAAAGAATGCCTTTTCAAACCAAAACCTCAGGTTACGTCAGATGCTATCCCTATTGTATTTCTTGGTTACATTAGGTGGTAGCAATATACTTATGAATTCCACTGCATACTTTTGGTGTTACTGTCAGGCTACTGGATGAGTTACTAACTTCCTCACACCCAGATCCTTTTCATGAGTGACCTTAGGTTTTCAGAGGGGAAAGAGTGCCTCAATTGTTGATTGTCTAAAGTCATCAGCACCACTAGGATATTAATTCTTTCCATGAGTGGCTTAGCAAAAACTACTTTGTAGACAAATTAGGAGGTCAGCCAGACCAAATTAGAACACAGGTCAGAGGTTCCCATCACTAACCGTGAGATATTAGAGAGTCTTTGACAAGGTTTTAAACAATATGATGAATGCCTCTTTCCATGCTGAAATACCCTCTTCTTCCTTTTTTCTTCTTCCTTTTTAGATTTCATATGGTTCATTTCAACCAGAATTGAATGATCAGTTGAGGTTCCCTTCTTTTTATCGCATGGTCCCCAATGAAGCTCTTCAGTATCAAGGGATTGTTGAGTTACTTGTGTATTTCAGATGGAAATGGGTTGGTCTGATGGCTATAGATGATGAAGGCGGAGAACATTTTTTGCAGACCATAGAGCCAATGCTTCTGCAGAATAAAATCTGTTCAGCATTCATACGTCGAATTGGTACCAATTTGTATACCTATTTTATTGAACGTAAAGTAGTCTCGGAAACACAGGGGCTTTTCCCAGCTTTTGCGGTAAGCAAAGCTGATACAGTTATTATATATGGAGAAACTTCTTCTATTTCATGGTTACCATATGCTATAGAAGGAACTAGAATACTTCAAGTAATGCATCCTGAATATCAGGAGAAGGTATCTGCAGCAAAAGTGTGGATTACAACAGCCCAAATTGAATTCACATTCTCTAAGCTTCATGATTTGTTTTATGCTGAAATGCGAGAGCTTCATGGTGCTCTGTCCTTTGCAATTCACTCAAATGATCTGCCAGGCTTCCAAGAATTTATTCAGAATGTACGTCCTTCCTGGGCAAATGAAGATGGTTTTATCCGTACTTTCTGGGAGCAAGCATTCAAGTGTAGATTTCCAAATGCTATGGAGCAAATAGATGACACATACAAATGTACAGGAGAGGAGATGCTGGAGAGCCTTCCTGCTCCTTATTTTGCAATGAGTATTACTGGCCACAGCTACAGTATCTACACCGCTGCATATGCTCTGGCACATGCCTTACATATCGGGTACTCATCCAGAGCCAACAACAGAACAATTGAGACCAGTGGCAGACCATCTCCTCAGACTGTTGAACCCTGGAAGGTAAAGTTTCCTGTGGCAGACTGTTCAGTTTGCATGCAACACTGAATTCTCACCTATTACTACTGATGCCTTTGTATATGGCATATTGGCATTAAAATGAGCAAATTTTGGAATTTGTCACCTCAAGAGTTAATGCATTTAATGAATACAAGTATGCCTATAATGTAAATTTATTTGTTCAATGAATGTTTAGAATGTATTTGAAGAGAATAGACTCTCTGGGGCAGCACATTCAAAAACCTGAATTTCCACTAATTCGGCGATTTGCCACTCTCTTCCCATGTCTGCTACTGATAGGTGAATAAACCTTCATTGTGAATTTCCCCACTCCCAACCAAGAAGGTGAATTCAAATCTATCTAGGAAAGTTACCTGAACCACCTTAATGATAATATTACAACACTTTATAGATTTTTTATTAGAACTCTCCCGTTCTCTCTCTAGCTCCACTCATTCCTTCAGAGGATGTCATTCAACAACAGTGCCGGAGATGAAATTACGTTTAACAAACATGGGGAATTAGTAGGTGGATTTGACATTAGAAACTTGGTGACTTTCCCAAATAGATCCTACATCAGGGTCAAAGTGGGGAAGATGGATCCTCAGGCTCCTCCAGGCAAAGAGTTTTCCATTTATGAGGACAGAATCAAATGGCACTGGAACTTGACTCAGGTAGGGAAAGAGCCACACTGCCTCTCAAGTATCAATATTCATGATCATACAATAAAATGAGACGTCTATAGATGTACACTGGCAGAGAAAGGGGTGCGGTGGGTGTGGTCCACCCTGGGTGTCATCCATGAGAGGGGTGACATTGCCCCCCTGGGATGTGCCCCCGTGCATGGCTAGCCCCGCCCCCACACGTACAGCCGCTCCAGGTGCTGGAGCCCCTAGCTCCGCCACTGTAGATGTAACAAAGAAAAAGGCAGAATTGATTAATATATTGCATACATTTGAAATTCACTGGGAAACTGTATTGAGTTGACAAATAAATAAAAGTGTGTTAAAGAAACTGAGGAATGCAGCAGTGCCATCTTGCATTGAAGAGGGGGCCTGATGTTGCATGCATGCAAGACTCGTGTGTGACGTCACACACGCGGCATGCAACAAGTGGACATGGCACAGTTGGGAGCAGGCTGCACCAAGCACGCTGTGCCACACAGTTGGGAGAAGACCAGGTGCTGTGCACCCCACACTGAATCCAGAGCACCCCACTCTGTGCTGTTGCGAGCCTGTTGGCCAACACCAAATTAGCCAAAGCTGTTAGGGTTTCAGCTAGTGACTCAGATACCTTAGAGTCCAGGCTAGCTAGGCTTTTGTCCTCTCACAACCAGGCTTCTAGGCCAGTCTTCACCACTTGCAGCTGTTGATCTAGCAAACCCATTGAGAGGACTTCATTTCAGCAAACTGCTGCTCCATCTGCTGCTAGTTTTGATGCTTTATCTGTTCCAGGTGTGTTCCCATTCCTCCCTCCATTTAGAATCAGGACTCTTTGCTCACAGGCTCTTCTCCAGAAACACAAATCTAGATTCTAACACCAGTGTTACATGCCACCCCAATGTTTGAGCGGTGTGAGATTCCAGGGGTTCCAGGGGTGGTGTTTCTTTTGGAAATGCGGCACAGCAGAGACTATGGTGTTTTTAAGAGATATGGTTTACTTACACATATATACAACCTGAACCTTCAGTGAAATCAAACATTGCTCTGAAATATTTCTCTGGCTCTCTCAAGTCTGCTGCTTTACTTCTAGGTCAAATCATTCCTCCAAACTCTGTACTCTAAACTCTGGCTTTATCTATTGAGGGAGAAAACCCCACCCATTTGCCACCTTGCACCAAGCCCCTTAATCCCTCTTAATGGTTCATCATCCAGGCTATCACCACAGCAGGAGGCTGGCCTGACAATTCCAAGAATTTGAAACCTTGATTAAATTCTAACACTTGTTGGATCCAGGGATTAGAGGGGTCTGGCACCCACCTTAACACCCCAAACTCATAACAATATCAACAATTTCTAACGTCTTCAAAATAATATATGGAGCAGAGACAATTGCCTTTTAATACAGAAATTTAAATTTCTATTACATTCATTTTTAATATAACCAGTCAACACAGCCAAGAAAAGTTTTAAGGTTTTCTTATTGATTGCAAGGTTTTCTTATACAGTCCTTTCAAATGTGAAATAATTATTTTGAAAGCAAATGCTAATAAACTTTAAATTGTGAGTTAACAATCAACATTCAAATGGCTTGCTACATCCTGCTTTAGCTATTCCATTAAATTATTTCCCATCTGTATTATTTTTATTAATCTTATATCCTGAAACATTTATATGGAAGGGAGAAATTCTAACTATGGAAAGCCAGTGTAATTTACACTTTCTTAAGTTTAGAAACTTCTGGTTCAAGTCATTCTGTTTCAGGCATGAAAAACTTTCATACTTTAGCTGTTGCTGAAAAACAACCCTGGCCATCGGTCGTAACTGCTGAGGCTGTTAGGAGTTGCAGTTCAGCAACCTCTGGTGGGTAAAAAGTTTTCCACACCTGTTCTAGGTAGTGACATTATATCAGATGTTTTACAATTTGTACTATTTGCTGGGATAAGTGTAGGTACAATGGGGATGCGGGTGGCGCTGTGGTCTAAACCACTGAGCCTCTAGGGCTTGCCAATTCAAATCCCAGTGATGGGGTGAGCTCCCATTGCTCTGTCCCAGCATCTGCCAACCTAGCAGTTCGAAAGTACACCAATGCAAGTAGATAAATACCATACTTTTCTGTGTATAAGACTATTGTTTTTTACTTTAAAATAATGCTCAAAATCTGGGCTCGTCTTATACACGAATAGTCTCTCCCCCCATTTTTTTAATCAGAGTTCCCAAAAATAAGGGGCATTTTATACATGGGGACATCTTATAGATGAAAAAATACGGTAGGTGCCGCTGTGGTGGGAAGGGAAACAGTGTTTCTGTGTGCTCTGGCTTCCATTACGGTGTCCCGTTGTGCCAGAAGTGGTTTAGTCATGCTGGCCACATGACCCGGAAAGCTGTTTGTGGACAAATGCTGGCTCCCTCGGCCTGAAAGTGAGATGAGCCCCACAACCCCTTTGACTAGACTTAACCATCCCGGGGTCCTTAAACTTTACCTTACCTAGGTACTACAATATTCCAATCATCATCTGAGTCCTTTATTTGTGTGCCCACTACATAGAGGTCTGGAGGGTAACAACATGAGAACAGGTGTTTACTGTGGTGGCTCCCGATTTGTAGAATTCAGTCCCCAGGGAGGCTCGCCTGACACCATTTTTATATATATTTGGATACCAAATAAAAACATTCCTCTTCAACCAAGTTTTTGGCTATTAATGATCCATGGCCTTTTAAAGTGTGTGCATAGGAAGATAAGTATCCAATATAATATAATATAATATAATATAATATAATATAATATAATATAATATAATATAATATAATATAATATAATATTATAATATAATATAATATAATATAATATAATATAATATAATATAATATAATATAATATAATATAATATAATATAATATAATATAATTAATATAATATAATATTATAATATAATATAAATCTTCTTTAGTGTTCAAGATGCCTGATCTAGTAGGTATTTTATCCAGTGATTCTGGCACCTGTTCTCTTGTGCATATTTTATTCCTCGCCATTTGCACTTTGGTTTATTGGTGCTTTTTACTGATATAAGTTCAATTTCCTGAACATTTTCTTAATAATAAATTTCCCTTTGGATAGGTACCACCTCTTTCAGTATGTAATGACAACTGCCATCCTGGCTACCATAAGAAAAAAAAAGAGGGGGAGAAATCTTGCTGTTATGATTGTGCTCCATGTCCAGATGGGATGTTTTCAAATGAGATTGGTAGGACTTGTCATATAAATATATATCAAAGAATGCATTCCTCCCCCCAAAGTAAGCTGGGGGTGATCTTCAAATAATTGTATAATCAGTCCTTTTATTCTTAAAAGAATAGAGATAGTGAAATACTGCCCCTCAAGGAGGCCAAACTTAGATTCACAAAATGTTTAGGGGTACGCGTACCCCTGCACCCCCCCCCGAAAAAAAGCACTGGGTATAATATATAGTTTTCGTTATTTACATACAAAAGTTTTATGAATAATTCTTGTTAAACATCTTGAGTAAAAAATACGTAGAAACCCAGGTAAAACATTTTTAGCACCAGCAAATTCCCAGGTAACTCTGATGTGATGATTGCAAGATCTGTTGTCTGCAAAATGTAAAAAAAGTTTCATTAGTAATATTGAGGGGTTTTTTGTGTGTGTGTTTTGTTATTATGAATAAGTTCTGGAAGAACCCTTTTAAATACAAAGGACCCTTTTTAGGCATCTGTTGTGAGCTTCTCTAAGGAAGTCCTTAAAGCCCCCAAAGTTCCACACCCCCAATTTGGATTCATCTGGTAGATCTCTATCTCCTTAGAAATGCAGAGACCTAGAGGTATTTCACATAGAGATCCCAAGCAAGTTCCCTTGAGAAAGCATAGTCTCAATTATTTGCATCAATGTTAGGTGGACTTCTTCTAAGACAGCTATGATGAGAACAATTTCCCATGCATATAAATTGCTGTTCCTTTTCTCTCTAGACATGGAAACTTGTGTCCCTTGTCCAGATGACCAATATCCAAACAAAGGAAAGGATCATTGCATTCCTAAGATTCCAAACTTCCTGGCTACTGATGACACTTTGGCTATTGTTCTAAATTTCTCTGCAGTTTTGTTAGCGCTGATTACAGTGCTGGTGTTTGGCATCTTCATCAAATACCAGGACACTGCCATAGTCAAGGCCAACAACAGAAGCCTCACCTACATTCTCCTCATCTCCCTCCTCTTCTGTTTCCTCTGCTCCTTGATGTTCCTCGGAAGGCCTAATGTGGTAAACTGCCTTCTCCGACAAACTGCTTTTGGTATAATTTTCTCTGTGGCCCTCTCTAGCATCTTGGCCAAAACCATATCTGTGGTTTTGGCATTCATGGCTACCAAACCAGGATCCAGGATGAGGACATGGTTGGGACAAAGGCTGACTTTTTCCATTGTCCTTTCCTGCTCCAAAATTCAAATAGGGATCTGTACTCTGTGGCTGGCAACCTCTGCACCGTTCCCAGATGTGGACACATACTCAATGGCTGAAGAAATTATATTGCTATGTAATGAAGGCTCAAGCATCATGTTTTATTGTGTCCTGGGCTACTTGGGCTTCCTGGCCTTTCTCAGCTTCACTGTAGCTTTCCTAGCCAGGAAGTTACCTGACAGTTTTAATGAAGCCAAGTTCATCACTTTCAGTATGTTGGTCTTTTGCAGCGTTTGGCTCTCCTTTGTTCCTACATACCTGAGCACAAGTGGAAAATACATGGTGGCTGTGGAGATCTTCTCCATCTTGGCTTCCAGTGCTGGGCTACTGTGTTGCATATTTTTCCCTAAATGCTACATCATTTTACTGAAGCCTGAGTTGAACAACAAAGATCAACTGATTCGAAGAAAGTTATAAATAATAGAAGGGTTTATGCTTCCAATTTTTTTCTTGGTATTCTACACATAATCATCAGAGATGTGTAAATAAGCAGGGACTAATTACAACAGTTTTTGTTCTGTGGTTTTGCATAGTGATTTTAAAACGAAAGAAAGAAAGCCCTTGAAAATAGATGCAGTTCTCACCAAGGGGCTAAAATGTTAACAAGATATGCAATTCAGTGCAAGTAAGATATATGGACTCTTTGTTCCTTGATTGGCCAATAAGTTGAGAACAGGAATAGAAAAGATGTATATTACTGTGGCAGAGTTTTTCAGAAAATTACAGTTGATGTTAGAGCTCTAGTATAAATAGAATAAACTCCAGGAAGACTAGAAGCTGCAATGTTGTAACCATGAGACTAGTTGAAGTGTCTTTATTACTAACCAGTTGCTCAAGATCTGGCCAACACCAACATTAAGTTACAATATGTTCCTATTCACACAATGTGGATAGGTAAGTGCTTGATGTTTCCTCAATATGCTATGATTTTTTAAAAAATCTGCTTAATTTTATTGATTGGTTTTACGGCTAGTAGTGCCCTGTTGTGACCTGCCCTTTGATTGTTTTGTGATGAAAGTCAATAAATTGGAAACACATATTGACTGTGTTCAATTGAATGTGTTTCTTTCTGTCTCTTTCAATTGGTTTGTTATTTACCCCTTCCCAAAAACCTCACGGCCTTACTCAGTGCAGGGAATTGGCTGGGCTACTAAGTAAGTGACAGTGGTTAAAGGCTGTTAACAGAAGGAGAGCCAGAGAATAAAGACATCAGATTGGAGCTCCATTACCAGGTGCAGACTGCAGTGGTCATAGATGACAGTTTACTGACTATAATAGATTCTGAAGCATTCTTCAAATCCCATCATACTTCTTACTTTTAGTAATAAATTAAAATAGTAGTAATAACACTAATAATGCTATTTGAAATTGTCTATTCTACAAGAAGAGAATTTCTGTTTGAAACCTATGCCACATTTGGTGGGACCTGTGTTAAGCTTCCCAAACTTCATTTAATTGTTCATTTATTGCATTCAAAACATTTGTCAACCTGCCCCACACTGCAACAGGTAAGTTGTGACAAAACAATAACCCCCATCCCCAGGGGGAACCTTGAAGTTCCCTTCCAACCCTGTGATGCAACAAATATGTTTCATTCAAAGAAACCATATTTTCAACAGGCAAGAACTTTGCAGAAGTTATTATTTCCCCTGCAATTATCTAAATTAGTATAATCAATTCAATTGACCAAAGCTCCAGTGGCTTCACAGAAGACAGAAGCAGAAAACATTCAATTGGAACGTCTGAAATGATTATAAGTTCCCCAGTGTTCCATAGACAGCTAAGATTAGGGAAAAGAGAGAGTTAGGGCTGTGTCATTTTGACCAGTTTCTCTCTTACTTTGTAGAGCTCACATTTCAAATTGGTGTAGTTTAATTGGCATTCAAGATATGCTTTTGTGATATTGTTGAGGTTAAGGTTAAAGTGGGTAGGATTCCCTTTGAGTAGTGTGTTGGCAGAGTCAGCTGCTAATAAAGTCATCTTGCTCAAATGAGGTCAATAGCAGTAATGATATGGTGAACTGAGAGACGTGGGAGATTTCATGTGTGGACGGAAGGTTACTATTAGGATGGTGATTTTTCTCCTTCTGCTTCCAAACATGGTGTGCAGAGTGCATAGTATTAGCTGCAGCAGAAAGAAACCTGTACGTGTTCTACATGAGTGGTATGAGCCAGGCGATCTTCTCATTGGTGGGATGACAACTCTTTTACATTACGTTATCCCTGAATTGTCATTCAAAAAGCAACCTTCCCCAGTACTGATTGAAGAACCTCTGTAAGGAATTGTTTCCTTCTATAAAACTGCAGTGTGTGTGTGTGTGTGTGTGTGTGTGTGTGTGTGTGGTGTTTTATGTTTCTATAGTTGACTGCCTCTTTGAATTCATGTTCCCATCATTTCTTTGAAAAAGACTACACACGGTTCCCATTATCTGCCTGTGCTCTGTGTAAATTCACTTATTTGAATGTAAAGAATTATGTCCAAACTTCTCTATACACTCTGCAGATTCAGATATCTGAACAGCCAGCATTTGCCCCCTTTCTTACTTTCTTACTTTCTTGCTTGTTTGCTCTTTGCTGGTTGACGGCAGCCATTTTCAGGCAGAAAACCATGCAGGGAGGGAGGGAGGAAGATCAGATGAATGACAGAGCAAGAGAGATCAGACAAATCACTTCTCTCTTTGTCTCTCTTTTGCTGGTTGACTGCAGTCTTTTCAGGAGGAAACCATGAGGACATGGGGCCAGATAAATCCAAGATTATAAATGTTCCCTTAGGAATAAATTTCACGCTTTCATTCCTAAATGGCTTTCTAGCTAGAAATACCAAGCTATGTAAAGATAAATGCATAGGGTGAACATCAATGCACATTCCCACTTGTGCAATGCAGCTTTCTCCTTCTCTCATTTGAATTACTCTCAAAATCTTTTCTAGAAGGTTGGAGAACCATTCAGAACAATTTTTGAAGTGACAGTCCAGGAGCGGAACTCCAACCTCACTGTGTTGGAAAACCCACATTGATTTCATTTCACACCGTATCTTTATTTGACATCTCCAACACTACATGAAGAATGTAAATTTTAATAATAGTAATAGTAGTAGTAGTAGTAATAACAACAACAACAACAAATGGAAATACTGGATCATAGATATGAATTAATTAAAGCATCCTTCAAAGAAGCAGGGTTTGCTTGGTTTTTTGAATGATTTATGCTATAAAACAACTTACTAAAGAAATCAGTACTACAAACCATTAGACACAATTGTTCTGTCTGTGTCTGCATACAGGGAACAGCTATAAGGAAGTGTTCCAGGACATGCTTTTCATGTAAAGGGTTGCAGTTTAAATTATTGGCATCCACTGGTAGGGCTGACAAAGACTCACACGCTACAACATGAAAGTAAATGATATAAAAAATGCAGAGCTAGATGGACTTAGTAGAAGGCAGTTCCCTGCATTCTGTTCTATTTCCACTCAAAACTGGGTTTCAAATTTTTAAAAGGAAGGTGCTGAAGGTACACAGACAAGTATGAAATTGATGCATTTTTAGGAGATTTCAGAAATTACCAGTGATTCCAAACACAGTATCGTACTTCTGTGACCCAGGTGGTGCCCATTGCTAAAACTGTCTAGAGTTAAAAAAGAATGGATGTAATATTACATATGAGTACAGTGAAATTCAAGGAAATATTTCATATCCTCTATGTAGATTGTTCCACCGTCTATATATTCTGAGTTACAATAATTCTGATCTGTTTGAATGGAACTCCAAAAACAGAATTATATCATGCACAAGTCTAATAACCATAACATAGCTGTTTTCTTGCCAACAGGATTTAGCTAATGACTAACTTTCCTGGCTGTTCCCTCTCTTTATAGCTGGGCACTTTTAGCTCTTGGATCTAGTTGAAAACAGTGTTAAAATAATTTACTTTAATTTTCCAATGAAATTGCAAGTCCCTTCATTTGCAGTGTGGTGACAAAGTTCTACCAGCATATCCTAGCCTTGGTGTTCGCTGTTGAAGAGATCAATGAGAATCCCAATATCTTGCTCAATGTCACTCTGGGGTTCCACATCCATGAGAGCTACTGGGACCCAAAGATGACCTACCGCAACACTCAGGATCTGATCTTTAACTCACATAACTTTGTGCCCAACTACAAATGTGGTATCCAAGAAAGTGTAATAGGAGTCATCGGGGGACTGAGTGCTGAGATCTCCTCAACAATGGCAGATATCTTAGGTCTTTACAAGATTCCACAGGTAGGATTTGAGTATCCAAACATTGGGAATTTCCAATTTTCATGTAGGAATTTTGTGACACAAAAAGTGAAGTCTGTATTTTTTCTTGTTATTATCCTGTCATCTGGCACAATGAAGTTGGTGGCCTATACAGGACATAGTAATATTTTATCTATCTATCTGTCATCTATCTATCTATCTATCTATCTATCTATCTATCTATCTATCTATCTATCTATCTATCATCTATCATCTATCTATCTATCATCTATATCTATCTATCTATCTATCTATCTATCTATCTATCTATCTATCATCTATCTATCTATCTATCTAATCTATCCATCTATCATCTATCTATCTATATCTATCTATCTATCATCTATCGATCTATCTAATTGTACTTGGAAAATGACAGCTCCTGGCTGTGACTTTGTGAGGTATATATGTAAACGTTGGCTTTCAGGGCTTTCCAGTAACATGCATGATGATTTCGCAGTCTGGTTCTCTTTCCTGCAGAATTTTGGTTGGGTTTCTTTTTGGAGAGAATGCATTTTAAAAACAAAACTTTAGGCAAAGTCAGATGAAAGCCATACTGCATTTCTTTGGTGTTATATTTGGTAATAATTTATTGTTGGGGAGTAGATTCATGCTTCAGTTCTGAAGAGACCAACCAGGGATGTAAGGTTCCTTGAGGTTTTTTCTCCATTAGTTCAATTTGATGCTTGACTGACAATGAATTCTACTGCACATTTTTGGTGTTACTGTCAGCCTATTCTTATTAATTCTCTCACTCACAGAAACCCCTGGTTCATGCAGCTGGGGCATTCCTTTGTTGATCATCCTCTTCCTTGTATAGCATATTTCATTTATGAAAGATAGAATTGCTGATGCTCTTTCATGGAACCTGACAAAGACGTTTTGCCTGCTGATCTCACAGGCCAGAACTCAGGCAAATGTGATTCCACCAGCAGTGTGCGAATTGGAGACTTGAGTCCAAGAAGGCTGTGTTACTTGTGTCCAGCACTTGTGTATGCTATATATCAAAATGCAATGAGTTTTATGGTCAGCTGTTACAATCTGTATCAATGGGTAAGAGTGTCGAGTTTTGCATTGAATGCGGGAAATGGTAGTCATTCTGTCTTTCTGTTTCATGCTTCCATTCCTGCATGCTTTTTT